CTTTAGTCTTGTTTCTAAACTTTTTAGTCTTATTTTTTTTAGTAATAGCCATTCTAATTCAATAATATATCATCTTTGAGTGACTTTCTAGTTTATTTCAATATTACAAGAGTGTATTGAAGATTTCTTTCTTCAAGATTCATATCTTTAACAATGTGATAATAATTTTAGATCCAACCTTGACAATTACCATTTAATATGAACAATAAATTTATTAAGATTATATTTGAATTAATATTTATAGATATTTGTATCTTGGAATCAAATTTGAGAGAGATAACAATATTGCATCTACATTACTAACACACTTCTCTCCATTCACTTAGTTGGGAGTTTTTGATGATTAAGACAAAGTTACATTCTTTACGCAAATTCTTGACATCAAGACTTATTGGAAATATAAAAATCTAGACCATGTGATGATGAATGATTGTACAATTAAGGAAATTGCACCTCCAATGTTGAATCCATTATATAAAAATTAATATACAATAATAAAAAATTTCATCAAAAACCATCTCGATGTTGAAGACCTTCTATCTACAAAAATACAAATGACCACTCTTATTTATTCTATGATATTGAATGAATAGACTACTAAATTTATACAAAAAATAGGCTTACAATGTCATAATCAACTACAAGTGCGATTGCAAATTATTCAATGGGATTTGAATTCACACTAGTTTCAATAACTCTTCAAATAGATTTAATCGACAAATCTTTAGAATTACAACAAATGTCCATAGCACAAAGATGAAAAAAAGTCAAGATGGCCATTTCTCTTATTTATCTATGGATGGACGCAAAGGTGATGACCATGGCAACCACTTGTTCATTCAATCTATAGATGGAAGATATGGTAGTAGCTACGATGGTCTCTCATCTTTTTTTATCTAAGGATGGAAAGGAAGGTGATAGCCTTAGAATAGCAAGAGAGGTAACGACTTTCGTCACTATTCAATGGAGTGTAATCTACTTCCATTAAAGAAATTCAAGATAGCCCTACTACTGCCTCATATTTTTGCTACCAATGAGAGTGTATTAGGGTAGCCATTTAAAAATAGCCATCCTTCATTAAATTCTAATCTATAAAATAAATAAGAATTGAAATCGTTATTAAATGTTCATGCAAGGCATGAGTTTAATCCTTTACAAAACACAAAAAAGAATTATGGGAATATAAAAGGCACAATAACATATCTAAATAAGTCAAGAAAATTTTACAAAAATTCAAGACATTACAATAGGTCTAATACAAGTCATATATAAGATGATGAATTAATTTTTATTAAAACTAACGATATACAATTTTGGAAGGAAAAAAGAGCTTTATAGTATTAAAAAAATTTATTACAAGAAAATTTAGAAGCTAAAGATTAAGAAATTCATTATTTATAGAAAATAATAGAAAAACATAAAAGGCTTTAAAGAATTTAAGATAATTATCAATGATTGATGAAGTAGAATCAATTAATTATAAAAGAAAGAAGTAATGTCAATCTTAGAACTTATAATTAATAAAATAGAGATATTATTTATTAAAAAGATGTATAAGAAGGAATAAAATTGATATAAAAAAACTACTTATAGAAGCAAATATAAATAAGATTAGAAAAAATAAATAAGTGTGAAAAACAAAGTAGTTAATCACCCATGTATAGAATAGATAAGGTGATTAAAACCACTTTAGGAAGTTAAAACCACCTTTGATATTTATGATAGTTAGAAAAAAAATTATTTTACTATATTTTAAATAATATTGATAGAAAATTATTATAAAAAGCTTCAAAATCATGTTATTATTATAAAAAATAATCATAATAAAAGAAAGTGCAATTGACATGCTTGCATATTATTATATATACTTTTAGTCTAATATTGAGTTATGAAAGTTGCAAGATAAAATGAAGATATAGATGGTCGAAGACTAGATTGAAGAAGCTTAAAATAAGAAGAAGTCTATGAAAATATGAATGGTTGAAGAAGACCAAGTAAAATTGAAAGATGAAATTGATAGATAAATTAAAAATAGTTTCTAGAGTGAATTATTTGACCACAACTTTGATAAAACCAAGAGACATGAAAAATAAGTACAAAGATAGTTCCTATGTGGAAACATAGAAGGAATATTTGAGATACTTAAAGTGCAAGAATCTAAGTGTTGATATGTTTTAGACATGCTTATTGAATTAGATATGAATGAACTTGAAGCTAATTCTATATCAATAAAAAAATGGCCAATTCTAAATAAAGACATAATCAATGAAGAATTTATAAGTCCTAAAAAATATAAAAGAATTGTTAAGTAATTAAGATATGTTATTCAAATAAGATCTGACATCTCTTACTCGATTGGTATAATAAACAAGTTTCTTCAACATCCACAAAAACTTCATTTGAAGGTAGCAAAGAAGATAATAAAATATCTTAAAGAGACCTAGGACTATGATATATATATATATATAATATAAAAAATAGACCAACAAGATTTATTAATTCAGATCATGCAATGTATTTTAATTAAGGAAGACCAATCATTAGCTATGAATTTGTATTTGGATCAAGTCCAATAACTTAGAAGTTGAAAAAAAAAGTTGTATAGCTATATCTTCTATTAAAGTAGAATACATGCCCTATTAGATTGATCAAGAAAGTCAATCTAGTTATGAAGATTATTTAAAGATATAGAATCTATTTAATGAAGATATATACTCATAAATTGTGACAATACAAGCTCTTTGAAGATATCCAAGAATGATAGATTTCACTCACAATCAAAACATATTCATGCTTATTTTTACTACATTCAAGGACAAATTAAAGAAGGCAACACTAGTTTCAATTAAATTCCTATAACAAAATAGTTGACAAATATTTTTATCAAAACTTTTGAAAGAAAAATGTTTATTAAATTTTGAGAACAACTTAACATAGTTTCATTATAAGACTTAGAATAGATGTCAAAAAACCTAAAGCTATAATATTTCTAATTTAATGTCTATTTTGTATTGATATTATTTTTCTTACTCTATTAAGTAACAACATCTAATATAATTGATTTCTTCTAAAGCAAATAATTCATATTGCAAGTAGTCTTAATGTGCTTGAGTGCCTAATTAGTCATTAATATATTCATTAATATGAAAAAAATGACAAACTATATACCGATTGGCTAAATATTATTAGAAGGACATTAGTTCAAGGGTAGTTTAAGATCCTATCTTAGCTTATAAAATGATAAGAAAAAAAATAGATAAAATATTGAATTTGATTGGTGAGTAATACACATCCAACACTGATATATGGAATATATAAGAAACTATCTTTGGAGGCTCTATAGACACTCTATTAGAACTGCCAAAGAATGATCTTTTTTCAGATCTTCTAGACTAATCACTTGTATAATACAATCTTCAATTGTAACATCAATTACATGCAATTATGCCTTACTTAGTGTCCAAAAGATATAAGCCTAGCTAAAACTAAGATTTTAAATCAAAAATGCAATATCAACTTTATTGCAGAAGATTAATGAAAAAATAGCCTTGATAATTATACTATCAAAAATAAGAAGAGAAAAAATGTTAGAAGCAAGCTTATAGGAGATAAATAATAGAAATTTATCTCTTGCATTGAAGAAATGTAACTCAGCAATCAAAGAAACAATATTTTTGTTGTTGCTATGAATAATATCAAAGAAGGAAGTCTTTTGAGTAGACAATTTATAAAACTTTTCACAACTTCAGGATAAAGTGTCCTTATTTCTAATCTTATTGTCATTATAATAAGAAATCCCATGCACCACTTGCAACTTGATAGAGGATATTATATTTGTCTCTATAAACCTATGAAACTTTCTAAGGTATAAAAAGATAAGTATAGGGATTTGCAAAATGTCCTAAGATTTTAATTGAAAATGATAAAAGCTATGAACCATTGTTGACAAAATTGCAAAAAATAACCTATACTTATATAAGTATTACTATTTATCTAAGGACACATGGACAAAATCTATTAACAAACACCATTATAACAAATCTACTACAATGCGGCAAACAACAAAATAAGAAACAAATAAAATAAAATAAAATGAAAGAAACTCTCTTCTCTGCGCAACCTCTTAGACAAAATGAACATCCTAGATTTTTGGAAAAATCAAAGTCTAAAATTAAGAAAGATGTTGGTATAATCTTTGCTCTATGTATTTAGGTCATTATGTATCTAATACTATATATATTTAATATAATATACATAGGGATATTATAGTATACTAGTAGTATTTAAACCATGTAAGGGCTAAGCCCTATTATCTCTTTTGATGAGTTCTCCAATGCCTCGAATACCTTCAAAGAATTCATAGTCAAATTGAAAGATTGTGTCATGCGAAAGTTCAAGCAACCACCATCTGTTTATTGGATGACTCGGTTATAGATGGCCGAACGACAGCACCTGACATGACTTCATGTTTGATCGTTTCATTGTTTGTTCGTTTCACTGCGATTCTTATTTCTAACGGTTATTTCTTTATTTTTCTTTCTTCACGACGCTCGCACAACTCTGTAATAATGTGTTATTTTCCATCTGCATTTAACTGTTACCACAACGTGGATTTCAATAACCTGGCTGGCGGTGAGGAAGCTGATTTCACCACCTTGAAGGCAGAGAACGATGCTGACATGGCAGTAGGTTTTGGTTTTTCCGATGAACAAACCTGAGTTCATGCACGCGAGAATTTTGACACTGAAACTATTTGTCTCACTAGAGTTACTTCTAAATATAAACACTGCACAGATTTCACAAATATCTACCTAGAGGGGAGCAGCAGTAGTATACTTAAGTTGTCAAGTGAAGGGCTTCAAAAATAGGTTTTCATGACAAAATTATTCTCAAAAAGATTGATTGAACTTCGGTAATGTTATTGATCCAGTGGTTGATCAAGCACTTCTAAAGTTCGATAATTCTTATCACTGAAAAGTACTTATAGTGGTTGCAATACAACCCATCGATGTTAATTGTTCTTCGTGATCTTCACAAGACCCACGCATAGATATTTTTCTAGGAAATCCATTTCCCTGTCCTGGGTTGTTCAAATTAGAACATAAATATCCCTTGTGTATAGTTTTCAATTCCACTCGTAAACGCTGTAAAACATTGCTTCCTGAGAGGGTTTTTGCATCTGGCAACTCGTGTTCCTAACTCAACTAACGCATGCTCCGCTTGTTCTATTGTGCAGGAGTGGATGAGACCACCACCGAAACAAACACCAGCGGAGGAAATGGGGTATAACATCCACGTCCATAAGCTAATTTCGCCGACCCATTACAACCTAGACCGCCAGGATGTGCTGCGTAACAATTACGTCACGATGTTGCGAGATGGGGTCAACTCAGACATCACGCTGAGATCCAAACGAGGCTCCGTGAGAGCCCATCGCAGCGTGCTAGCAGAAGCGTCGCCCGTGTTCGAGGCCATGTTCAAGCACGACATGCAGGAGCGACGCTCCTCTTCGGTGAGGTTGCCTGACATGACCATCGGAGGTCTCCGAATTTTCCTGACGTTGCTGTATGTTACCTCAGGATCTCACGCTCCGGCGATTGATAACTTGGCGAACCTGTTCGAGGATGCGATTCTGACGCATTTTGATGAGCTTGCCGATGCTTGTATGAAGTATCAGGTGACCAGGGTTATGAATGTCTTGCAGCTAAAGTTGCGTAGGAAGTTGACCCCTGCAAATTGCTGGACGTATATTCACAAGTTTTTAGCAGATTCTGAAACGGTTACTTCAAAGATTTCGTACAAATCGTGTATCTCGTTCGCTGTGAAGCATGTAGTGCAGCTCATTGACTCGGATAACTTCCTGGAGGAGATGAGCAAAAACCCAAAGATTGTGCATGAGATTTTGATGCACGTGTTCAAATTGTGACTTGTGTCCACATGCAAAACCCATTGTTAATGTTGACGACCCATTCTTGGAACTTTCTGTGTTTGAATTAACAAGAAACGTTTTCTTTTGTGTGTTTTTTGTGTTTTTTTGTTTGTTTTGAAGCTCTTAAAAATGGATTTTAAGCTATGTTTCTGAAGGTATGTTTAACCATGGCAAGTATTAGAATCATAAAAGAACCATAAAATGGGTACAAACCATTATTGATAACGGTGTCGTCAGAGTGGAAGCATTTCAGTCTCAAAATGAAATGTATAATGTATCCATGCTAATGGGTTGTTATTTTAACCATAACTTGATTGTGTTTCTCTTCTTTGTTTGTGTAATCTAATGAAACAGTAAACGGAAGAAACTCCCAAGTCATCTGCCATATCGGTCCAGTTCTTCTGGTTGGAACGTCCAGTGTTGATATTTCGGAGAAGAGGTGGAGTGGAGCGGAAGATTGAAGCCTGTAATCTGTGCGATAACCATCTTCAAGGAATGTATCTGATTTATTACTTAAAATTTCAATTTTTTTTCGTGTGGTCTTCCTCTTTTCTATTTGAGTGAGGAAACTTGGACTGTTGAGGGCTAAAGCTTTCAGATGGCGAAGCCATTTGTACACGAACATGCATAGCGGAATCGTAGTCCAGCTTATCAAATTTGATTTTTATGCTGTTGACAGAAAAATCTACACGAATGATAGTGGATGCATACTGCTGATTCATTACAGCCAAGAGTCTTTCACTCTTCTTGGCTTTATGTAAAGGATTACACAACTTCCTGCTCGTGCTCAGCAGAGATGAACAATGAATCTGAACCACTTCAATGATATTAACATTCTGAAAACCACATTCAGAAGATATGCTGAACAGTGCTCGCAGCGTCACCAATGACAACAGAGCACCAGAATCAATATAGATTTTGATCCCTGAATGCTACATTCACCTTCAATTCAAATGTGCTGTTTCTTTAGACCAAAATTCTACTGCAGACAATATCTGCTACTCCATTGAGACTAACTCCGCACAACTGCTGTTGTTGCAGCCGCTTAAGAACACTTGTTCTACTCAAATCTTACAAATCGTTCTATCTTCACATTACTAAAAGGCTTAAATTCTTCACATGGCACGATTATCAAGTAAAACTCAATAACCAGGCCCAGAAACATCAGCCTATTTCTTTCTTGTCTGCAACACTGATATAAGCCAGGAATCCTTCAACTCCTCAGGCCAATCGAATTTCTGAGCACAAAAATTTCACACGTTAACGGTGTGCTTCAACTTTCATCAATGTGGACTAAAACAAAGTTTGAGAAATGCATAATCGGGGTCCAGCAAAACAAACTTGTTTTCTTCATGCTGTTAACCAAAATTACTGCATTCCATTCTGTGAAAAAGCTGAAATACCTTCAGATGCTTTGCCAATAGCAGCACAGAATGATTCGAGACTGTTCCTAGTGAAGGTAAAACAATGCGCTCGAATCTCCCTTCAGCCGAAGGTACCACCCGAGCTCGAATAGGTCGATCACCTCGTCGACCTGGCTGCTTGTATATAAAATGGTATACTTTTCCTGGTGGGTACAGCCTTTGTGTCTCCTTATCCTCCTTGGATTGAAGCGTTTGCTTCAACCAGTACGTGAAGACCACGACAACAGTCCTGCAAAGCCTAAGTACTTAACCCAGTGCTCATACAACTAGCACACAAAAGACAGTCAAATTCAGCGACAGAGCGAGAGAGAGCAGGAAGCGAGATCTTTTAGCCTATGTATATTGTCTAATTCATTTCGATGCCTTCAAAAACCTTTACATCCGAATCAATAGCAGCCAATTATTTTACAATCACAAAGCTGAAAATAATGATTAGCAAAACACCCAATGGGATAATGTCTTCAGTTGGACCAAGGCTTCTGAAAGTGATGTCAGGTACTTACAATGGAAATGTCACAAGAAAAACTCGCTTCACAGACTTGGTTGATACTCTGGGCAAGAAATCGTCCTGCTCACTCACAGAATGACAATGTCAGAATGGCTGCTTTGAGGTGCACACCATCATATCAAGCTTTAGCTTCCCTCTGTTCTGCACAATGAGCTGTTCTCAAAACGATTCCATTGTGGAAAGACTAGCCTGGTATATCACGCTGTTAACGTATGGAGCGTACTTCAAGGCCAGATCGACTGACATTACCCGCGGCGGAGCGAACAGAATCGCTCGAATCTCGCGTGGGTCAGCCAATCCTACCAGCTCTGGACTCTTCACCAACATCATGGTGAATAGAGCAGCCACTCCAGCTCCAAGTGAGTGCCCTACGATTGTTAGCCGGTACCTGCAGACACTCACACCCCCTGAGAGCTCGTCGGTGCAGCTCTGCAATCATGCGATAGTGCGGCAGAACAGTGAACCACCTCAGTGCTCTTTCGGACAATCACTCAGAAAGGATCTCATTCCACAACATTCTCACATCGTGCGCAGCCAGATTTCACGGAGCTTACCCTTTGTTGGATCGGAGTTGCTCCTTCAGAACGGGAGCCACATGTTCCGTCGCCCACTCGGCAGCTTCGGTCATACCATGATGCACAAAGCCCTCCTCATATGGCTGCAAGCGAATTCGCAAAGAACCTTCAACCGGGTCCCACTCAACCACAGACCAAGTTCACTTACCAAAATCATGCACCCAATCAGAGCATACCATTTCTGAAAATCTGGAAACATCGCTCTTGCAATTGTTCATGCACACGCTCCTTGCAAAATCCGTACCTTCTCTCCCTTCCTGTTCTTCAGTAGCACAACGTAGTCACGGCGGTGCAGGAGGTTGAGGCCTCGGATGTACATGCTCACTTCCTTATATCGGTGATCTACGTATATGAAGTAGGGCGGACACGCCCGGGGGGCCTTGGGACTTTGCAAGTCAACGACAAATCTACTATCAAACTGAGGTTCATGCTCACGTATGGGTTTTATCAAACCATCAATATCATTACCATATGCACCCAGTATCTGCAGAGAGGCATTCACATTGTACATTGGAAAAACTCGATTAGAAAGTAAAATCTGACTCTTCTGCTTCATCCTGCTTGGTGAGACTAATCACGCTCCATGCGTCCCTCAGAAGATGCAACTCTAAGTCATGAGGAAACAATACCAGTTCACAGACACTTAGAATCTTTACTCTCCTACATGATCCAGATTAGGAGTCTGAGATTTCAGAATACTTCCGATGTTAGTATCAGGGTAAACACGACAGCCATGGCTCACCCGCACACAATGACGAAATATGTCCCTGACTTCAACCGCTGGTGCTCTCGGAAATCCTCGAGAATCTAGAGAACCTTGCCAGAATACTCGATTTTTCCCGAATTTGCCATTTCTGTCTCCGATGAGATCCTCATCCCAACTTGCTTCCTCTTGTCGCCTGCTTTCTGCTTTCGTACTAAAGTATTGTCTCAAAGACTTCCCGAGCTTCATCTTCTGCGCTCGCTTTTGTTGTGAGGTTTTCTTTGTATCCACTGCACGGGCTTCTGGATCCCCTACCTGCGCCAGAAGCTGGTTACCTGGACCTTCCTCTGTCCCTGCGCCAAGTCAATGTCAGCAGAATACTCGCAAAGGGGAGTGCAGTTTCAGTACCTCTACTTCAATTCATATCACGAGCACGCTCACAATAAGCAGCCGATACTCATCACTCCGACATTGCAAGAAACTGGATCACAAACACTCTCCTGACCCACATAAGAATCACAAATCCCAACGTCTCCGACTTCACATGCACCTCATTCTCAGAATTAAGCAGCTCTGCACGATATGTGACAATCTCCACATTATTTCGAATAGATCCACAAGAGAGAAAACGGGGTCTCCGAATGGCCGTGCTGTGGTACGACAGACTATCAAATTGGTCTCCAAGAATTCAATGATCTTTGCGTGTGGGTGAGCCCACCGCGTGGCCCCGGTCTTCATCCCAATGTTTTCTCCTGAGCAAGTCTCTACGAGCTCGCTCTTCACCTCCCACGTGTTGGATATCTCTGCAGCTCAGCTAACAACCTCGTGCACTTGGAGAGAGGCTCCACTAACTAGAAACGCTAAGTATCTCTTTACTTCGCCTCCACAAACCTCACTACTTTTCGCTTTTTGTTTTGTTTCTTTTCTCCCTCATGACCACACAATTGGGATACATTTCGGCTAAGAATGGATTTAGAGCTAATCCTCCAACATCACTCCGCTTCTTCGATTTCAGTATTTCTCCACATGCATCCACAAACCTGACACGAACCCTACCATTACCCGCACGATCCTCTCATTGCTCAACCACAACCCTCACCGTCATCCTCCAAGCTCTCCCAATTCCTCCAACTTGAGCTGCACAAAGATATCTCCACGCAAGAGGAATTCGGAAAACCCAACCGAACCTGTAGTCAGCACTCGCCAATTCATGTGACTCACCGACTTTACAGCATCGAATGTCCATCTTCAGGCTTTCCTATCGATCCGCAAGGAAAAACGCCGCAGCATGACTCGCGGCATGGAAAACGAAAGCACCTCGACGTCCCTAGTTGCCACGAGTGCAGGGGCCACACCTCTGGTTTCCAAGTTGCCACATTTCTCGCAATGGAGATCGATTCACAAGCCAGACCGAAATGGGCTCAAGAAGCCAATTTCGGTCGGATAAATGCTTGTCCAAGCCTACAAAAAAAAACAACCGCTGTATCTTGTATTGTTCTGGAAATAGATACCGAACCCAAGTTCTGGTGAAGCTGATCTATAAGCACGCAACGAAATGCCGAACGGACGCTGGCATGCCAACAATCATGCCACTGAATGAGCACAATGCTGCAGAAAAATGGATTGTTTTCCGTGTGCGTAGTAGTAGTTTTGAAGTTGTGCTTCATGTTGTTTCTCAACCACAATTACTGACGAAACAGTGGAGCAGTAAACGGTAAAGCATGCAAACATGATTCACCTCAGTGCAGATTCCAGTTCCACTCAACTGGCTTCCGCTGTGTGGCAGTGTGGGCACAGGAAGTACAGCTGCAACAACGTGAGCTGCAACTCCACTGAACTCATTTCTGGGTCACCATTTCCCATTGCAAATGTAGCTAAAATTCACTCTCCTGTAATTTAGGGCCTTGAGATCAGTTTCTCAATCAGTGCCAAGTTCTTAATTTAGGGTTCTGAGAAGAGTAGTGGTCACAAGCAGCATGATTAGTGGTGTGATTAGCAGCATGGAGTCTAAATGAATAAATGAATGACTAAGCAATTGTGGCTAATGTGGCATGCATAATTGCTCATTTGATGGTGGTCACATTTGTTGATGATTGGCTTTCTCTATTTGTATTCACATGTTGGATGGAACTTGTAAACAACATATTTGCCTCAAGTTACATTTCATACTTCTAACATACTAAAAAAAGGTTTATTTATTTATTTGTAATGATAGATCACATCTTATTCTTCAACAACTTTACATATTATCATTAATTAATTGTGTCAAATTGAATGATGTGCATATTTTAAATTTAGAAGGGAGATCTCACTCATTTAAATAGATTCAGGGTTGGTTTCTCTTCTACCTAGTAGAATGGATTAAATGTTCTTATTTTATTATATTTGTAGAATTTCTTCTAATTCTTAAATAAGATGGAAGAAAATACTTTTAAAATAAAAGATAGTAAAAAAAGAAATCTCAAAACCTTGGTGTTGTTTTGCTATGCTTTTATATGTTAGTTTTTAATAGCAAGGAATAGAGCTTAAAGTCATTTATCGTAACAAATTAATCAACAAATAAGTGGAGATCCTAAATAATTGTGGTTTTTTTTTCTAAGCTAATATTACGGCTGACTTGATTTGTCTCATTTATTATTCAAATTACGCCTACTATTTTAAAAAACTACAACAATGTAAAAAAGTAAACTCATATTAAGTATTCTTGTGCTGTAAAATGGCTATTGAGTGAAAGAAAAATAAATAAAAATATAATTGATTATATTATAAAATAATTCAATTGAAATATAATAGAATTTTTTTTACAAAACATAAATAAAAGATATGGAGGTAGTAAAATATTAAGTATTAATGTTGTTTTCTTGTAAAGAAGGTTTTTATTTACTTTTTTGAGCCATTAACAAAACAATACAAGGTAGATTAGCAAAAATAATACTACAAGTGTTTTAAGATCAAAATAAAGACTAGCTTTGAGTAATATTTATCTAATAAAACCTAAGAGGACCAATTGTGAACCAAGGTTAAACTAGATCTCAAGACACAAAACTAAGTGCCTACGTCAAATATGTGTTTATTTTGGTGATTGGATAGTAGAATCGATGAACAAACTTGATAGAGTTTCTTTGAGCATTGGTTTTGAGTGATTTAAATGAATAAATGACTTTGTGAAAGCTTTGTAAAGTTAAAGTTTTTTTGGATAACATTATTTCTTATAGAATTAAAAAAGATTGACCTTTTTAAAGAATTTGTGAATTTTATGACAAATCAATAGGTAAAAATTACTAAATTTATAAATATATTTGTATTAGACATGTATTTTTAATTTTAGTTTAATTAGAGAATTAGATAAAATATTATTTAAATTCAAGTAGATTAGGATCTTAAAAATTGGTATTTGAAAGTAACTAGGAGTTTCTATGATTTTGAGTAATCTATTAGTTGGATTAACTTGATTTTTTGTAAGTTGAAAGTTAACTTTAAAAGCAAGCAAAATAATGAATTAAGAAGACATTAATGCTAAAAGGTTGATATTAAGACTAGAAAATGAAAACAAACAACATCCAAGTAGATAAGATGTTTTTTCTCCAAATTGGTAATGTTGATTTTTTTTTCAAATTTTGTGTGCTTATTTTTAACCAATAGATTAATAATTACAAAAAATAATGAAGGTATAAAATTAATTTAATAATAAATGATATTTTAATTATATTATAAGATTTTATTAATATTCCTTTATTACTTCTTTATGAATTTTTAAAGATATAATTAAGATTGTTAAGGATTTTTTAAGTCATATTTAGAATTGATTTTAGTATAAATATATATATATATCTAAGATTCTTCTAAGGTTAATAAGGTATACTCAGTATAACTAGAAGCTTATTTAAGTTGTTCAAGTTTTCCAAAAAGGTATTTCTGAACAGCTTATCCATTATTTTTTATTGTAAATCCATCTTTACAATAAGATCAAACTCTTCCAGGGCTAGATGCCCTTTTCATTTTTAAGCTGATTATCACATAATACAGTAGCATCCAAATAACAATAACTTTTTAAACTATATTAGAAGAAAATTAGATTACTAAAGTGAAAGAAGAAAACTATGCACAAAATAAAATTTAGATATCCTAAAAGAAAACAAGGTCATTAACATCTTTAAAAGAATGTGAATAAATATAGAAGATATATTTTTTTCTTTTCAATTTATAAATTAGTGTACATATATGGATAGTATATTAGATAAAAGGTAAAAAATAGCTTTAGTTAAAAATCTAATTTTTAGGAAAAAAATAATTAATACATATGTTTAACTTCAAGTTAATCCTAAAGAATCTCTTTATCAATCAATCTTAAATTCATATTTAAATAAAATATTTAAAATTAATTATATAAAATTAAATAAATATCAATTCCAAATAAAATTTTATTAAATAGAAAATTATGATAAGATAACAATTTTATATATATATATATATATATATATATATATATATTTTTAGAAGACTAAATTATATATTTTTATATTTAAACTTATAAAAACTTTTATACTTAAGATAATATGACTAACAGTTTAAGGTGATGTAATGAAATTTTTTTTAATACAATTCTGTACTATACTACTAACTTTTTTTTAATTCTTTAAAAATTTCAAGTACACTTTGTAGGACTCTTAAATAAAGGGACTTAAAGCATTCACTAATATTTTTATTAATTTTTGATAATAAAATTAATTATTTTTATAATTTATGTAAAAGAAAAATTTAATAGATGGTTTAAAAAATTATTTGGCATAAATAAAAACTTATTAGAATTTTGTTGCAAAAAAAAGTTATTAATATACAAAGATTATCTACAAAGAAATTTTAAAGGTGGTTTCAATTAATATTTTTAGATAAAAATTTATACTCATGTGTATATATATATATATATATATATATATATCTAAATATGCACATATTATCAAATAAGCATATAATTAAGATTAAAATATATACTACAAATAAATTTTTTAAAATCAAAATTTATAAAAAACTAATTTATGAGTATGATAATATACTATTTTTATAAGTTTCTATAATTATAAATAGATTTTTCTTTATTAGAATGTTGGTTATGATCTATTTAAGTACAAAAAAAAATTATACATTCTTATAAAAAGATATTTCAAAGGTGTTTCTTGATATTGCATAATTTTTTCATAAGTATAAATATCTTTGCTTGTTAAACATAGCTCAATACTGCTAAAGATTCTATGTAATGCATAACTTTATCAAAATAAAAATATTAACAATCAAATGTATGATACACTGGTAATTTATTAATTATTTAAGTTTAATTAGAAATAATAATAATAAAAAATTATTAATATCAAATTTAATCAAAACCTCAAAACTTGTAAAAAAATGGTTGTAAACTTTAATGATAATTGAACAAAAAAATAGATATTTTCTTTAAAATTTTGAAATAAAGGTTGACATTATATAAGTTTAAAAGAAAGATGACTTCATTTATATATAATCTATGTAAATTAGATTCCTTAATTTACATCCAAAATTAGAATATATATATATATATATATATATATATATATATATATATATATATATATATATATAATTTGATATATAAGTGAATAAAAAATTATCAAATATATATATATGTATTTGCATGATATATCATTTCTTATTATGTTGTATATGAATTATAATAAAGTATATTAATTTAGTTGGTTATTTATTTAGTATGATTTAAAAACTTTGTTCAAATAAAGAAACTTATAAAAATTTGTAATTGTGAGATTTTAATATTATTAGAATTTTTTATTAATACATAAAAGATGTAGAGATAAAACTTATTTTTGGTGATACTATTTTTATGATTTATATCCTCATAATTATATACATATATATTTTAAAAAGATATAAGAAATAATTATCTTGGATTTTTTATAAATAATAAAAAAAAATAATAACTACAATATTTTATGTAGTTTTATTATACTAAAACTTATTTTTTAATATAACATTAAAAAACATAAACTATTTTACATTAAAGGAGGTAATATTATTATTATTATTATTTATTTAAATTTAATAAATTTAAAAATAATTATTTTTTTTTGAATAAAAAATTAATACTAGGAAGGTCTTTAGTATTAAATGCCTATTTTTAAACCCTCAATATTAAATGTTTATAGAATATTCTCGCTTATTAAAGAATTTTTTTCTATCAGATGTAGTTGCTTATCAATAAAATTTTAGTTGAGAAAAAATCATTATATAAATTTAATAATTTGTCAATTGTGATTTTAAATATGGCACCTAAAATATCAATTTCAATAATTATAGAATATTAAAAATCAAAATAGTTCTATTTTAAATAGACAATTCTAGAAATTTTAAAAATGGCTCTAAGTATTTGTAATACCACTTCATAAAGGTGAATCTAATATAAGTTCAAGAAAAAAAATACTATTTTAATAATATATAAAAAAAATAAATTTTATCTCATATTTTCTTATATAAAAATCTAATCAAAAAGGTATTTTTTTTTAATATTATTTATTTCAACCAATTATAAGTTAAAAAAAATTTAGCCTTTTGTAGAATATTCTGAGTTTAATGTCCTTCTAAGTAACAACCTTT